AAAATGCTTTTAGAGCTCCTAATAATAATAATAATAATAATAATAATAATAATAATAATACATTGAATCTGTATTAATGGATTTTAACTGTGAATATATACTATCACACACACATATACATATACACATACATAGTTTTAAAATGGATCAAGTTTCAGTTTTGGAATTGAGGGTGGCTCTACCCTGTGGAATCAATGCAGTTTGGCACTACCTGGCTCAATGCTATAGAATCCTGGGAGTTGTAGTTTGTTGACAGCACCCTTTGTTGGAAAGGGCTAAAGGCCTTGTGAAACTACAACTCCAACAATCCCATGCAGCTAATGTGTGGTCAAGCAGTTCACGTGCAACCTTTGATGCTGGTCCTATCAAGTCAGACTACATAGATCCTCTTCCTGAGCCTTTGTGACTCCCATCTATCCCAAAACACTCATGGATGCAAAAGTCGGGTCTTGCCATTCCATAGCATCCCTTTTAACTTTTAAGGAATTGGCATGCTTAAGAAAAAGCCTAGGGAATCCATGGGGTCGCTGTCAATCATAAGATGACTTGAAAGAATGCACACACCTATCTCCATCATCTGCAAGCTGTCACCAAGTTACAAACATCTGACTTGCAAACGACTCCTAGTTAAGGACAGGGTGGAGGCAATAGGAAGTGAGAGGAATCCACCTTTAAGAAGGGATTTCCATTCCTGGAAGGGTGATTACCGGGGGTAAAGGGGGTCTCCAATGAAGCTTGTTGTTTCCACAACAAGCCACATTTTGCAAAATCCAATCATCATAAGGACAGAAAGTGAGGGGACATCTCCTGAACAGGGGCACCAAAAGCAAAGTAAACAACACAGGGGTGTCAACCTTCCCCTATGCAATGCAAAGATGATAGATAGATAGATAGATAGATAGATAGATAGATAGATAGATAGATAGATAGATAGATAGATAGACAGACAGACAGACAGACAGACAGACAGACAGACAGACAGATGTGAGATAGGGCTGATAGAGAGGTGAATGTGATGAATGGGTGGATGGATGCATGGATGGATAGATAGATAAAAGATAGGGCTGGTAGAGAGATGAGATAGATAGATAGGTAGATAGATGGATGGATGGATGGATGGATGAGAGATAGGGCTGGTGGAGAGATGAGATAGATAGATAGATAGATAGATAGATAGATAGATAGATAGATAGATAGATAGATAGATGATAGATAGACAGACAGACAGACAGACAGACAGACAGATAGATAGATAGATAGATAGATAGATGATAGATAGATAGATAGATAGATAGAGATAGATAGAGATAGAGATAGATAGATAGATAGATAGATAGATAGATAGATAGATAGATAGAGAGATAGAGAGATAGAGAGATAGAGAGATAGAGAGATAGAGAGATAGAGAGATAGAGAGAGAGAGATGGGCTTCAGGAAGGATTTTTTCCCCTAGCTATTCTTAGGTAAGGCTATCTAGAGATGGAGATAGATAGATAGATAGATAGATAGATAGATAGATAGATAGATAGATAGATAGATAGATAGATAGATATAGATAGACAGACAGACAGACAGACAGATGTGAGATAGGGCTGATAGAGAGATTTTTTTTTGTTGTGTCAGGAGTGACTTAAGAGACTGCAAGTCGCTTCTGGTATGACAGAATTGGCCGTCTGCAAGGACGTTGCCCAGGGGACGCCCGGATGATTTGATATTTTTATCATCCTTGTGGGAGGCTTCTCTCATGTCCCCGCATGAGGAGCTGGAGCTGATAGAGGGAGCTCATCCGCCTCTCCCCGGATTCGAACCTGACCTGTCGGTCTTCAGTCCTGCCGGCACAGGGCTTTAACCCACTGCACCACCGGATAGAGAGATGAATATGATGGATGGGTGGATGGGTGCATGGATGGATGGATAGATGAGAGAAAGGGCTGATAGAGATGAATATGAAAGACAGACAGAAAGACAGACAGACAGATAGATGAGAGATAGGGCTGATAGAGAGATGACTAAGATAGATAGACAGACAGACAGATAGATGTTTATTGATTAGTCCCCTGACCTTATCAACAATGAAAGACACACAGACAAATAGGTACTAATCACTATCCTACAACTCCTGTAATAGTTTGGACTCTACTGTACTGATAGCTAGATAGAGTCAGACTTCCAAAATGTCCCTGTTCCAACTTATATACAAATTCAACTTAAGAACAAACCCACGGAAGTTATCTTGTTCGTATCTTGGGGATGACCTGCATATTTTGTATTGCACGTGCCCTGTTTTAATGTCTGATCCCGGCGTTCCTGCAATCGCATCCAATGCTTGTCCTTTGGAACACAAAGAGAAATCTCCTTCTCTTGTCTGTATGGAGCGCCACTTGCTCTCATCGTAGCAGGAAACCCACGCCTGACAAAGCGCAGGTGAACACTGGGCTCATGGGGGGGGGGTGACGGGGACGGGGACACAATCCCTGTGCACTGATCCGCGATTGTTGCGCCTAAAGTGCCACGGTTACGTTGGAAGGAAGACTCCAATAAACTAGCAGTCAACCACCTTGCACACAACGGGCCTCAATCCACACCAATGGAGCCCCAAATACAACAAGGTGGGGGGGAGGAGTGCTTGCCAAGGCCTGGTTGGCCCCAATTCACCCTCTGGGATAGACACGCAAATCCCAGTTCATCCCAGTCTGCAATATGACACCTGGTGGCTTGATGGACCCATGGAGGGCTTGCTCTCCTCATCAGCCTTGTTTTCAATGAGAAGCCCCACCTCCAACCTCAGGCCTGGACTTTGGAAGACTCTCACCTGAAAAGCACCCCTTCCTTCCTTCCTTCCTCACATTCCTCCTTCTTTCTCTCCTTCCTTCCTTTCTTTTTTCTCCCATTCTTACTTCCTTTCTCTCCTCCTTCCTTCCTTCTTTCCTCGAAAAGAAAACCAAGAAAAACTCCTCATGAATCATAGAATCAAAGAGTTGGAAGAGACCTCATGGGCCATCCAGTCCAACCCCCTGCCAAGAAGCAGGAATATTGCATTCAAATCACCCCTGACAGATGGCCATCCAGCCTCTGTTAAAAGCTTCCAAAGAAGGAGCCTCCACCACACTCCAGGGCAGAGAGTTCCACTGCTGAACGGCTCTCACAGTCAGGAAGTTCTTCCTCATGTTCAGATGGCATCTCCTCTCTTGTAGTTTGAAGCCATTGTTCCGCGTCCTAGTCTCCAGGGAAGCAGAAAACAAGCTTGCTCCCTCCTCCCTGTGGCTTCCTCTCACATATTTATACATGGCTATCATATCCCCTCTCAGCCTTCTCTTCTTCAGGCTAAACATGCCAAGCTCCTTAAGCCGCTCCTCATAGGGCTTGTTCTCCAGACCCTTGATCATTTTAGTCGCCCTCCTCTGGACACATTCCAGCTTGTCAATATCTCTCTTGAATTGTGGTGCCTTCTTTTCTTCCTTCCTCCGCTTCCTCCTTCCCTTCATCCTCTCTCATTCTTTCCTTCCCCTTCATCCTTTCTTTTTTCTCACATGCTTCCTCCCTCCCTTCTTTTCTTCCTTCCTTCCTCACATTCCTCCTTCTTTCTCCTTCCTTCCTTCCTTTTTTTCTCCCATTCTTACTTCCTTTCTCCCCTCCTCCTTCCTTCCTTCTTTCCTCTTTGTCACCTTCCATTACTCCTCTCTCCCTCCTTTTCTTCCTTCCTCCGCTTCCTCCTTCCCTTCATCCTCTCTCATTCTTTCCTTCCCCTTCATCCTTTCTTTTTTCTCACATGCTTCCTCCCTCCCTTCTTTTCTTCCTTCCTTCCTTCCTTTTTATCTCCTTCCTCTCTCCTTTTTCTTCTCTTCCTTCATTCCTCCCTCCACTTCCTCCTTTTTTATCTTTCCTTCATTTCTCCTCTTCCTCCCTTCCTTCTTTTCTTCCTTTCTATGCCTTCCTCCTCCCTCTCTGCTTTTCTTCCTACCTTCACCCTCCTCTGTCCCTCATCTTTCCTTCCTCCCTCCCTCCCTTCTTCCTCCCTCCCTTTTCCTCTTCCTCCCATCTTTCCTTCCTATTTCCTATTCCTTCCTTCTTTTTCCTTCCTTTCTCCTCTTCCTTCTTGTTTCTCTCCTTCCTTCATTCCTTCCTCCTCTTCTGCCTCCCTCCCTCCTTTTTTCCTTCCTTCCTCTTTGTCCCCCTTCCTTTTCTCTCTCTCACATCCTTCCTTTATCCCTTCCTTTCTTCTTCCTTTCTATCTCTTCCTCCTCTCCTCCTTTTATTTCCTTTCTCCCCTTCCTTCCTCCTTTTCCTTCCTTCTCTTATCCTCCTCCCCCTCTTTCCTCCCTCCCCCCTCTTTTTCTCTCTTTTCCTCTTTCTCCTTCTTTCCTTTCTTTTTTCCTCTCCTTCTCCTTCTTTTCCCTTCCCTTCTCCCTCCTTCTTTCTCTCCCCTTCTTCCTCTCCCTTCTTTCTCCCTTCCTCTTTCTTTCTTTCTCTCCTCCCTCTCTCCCTTCTTTCCTTCCTATTCCTTTCCTCTCTTTCTTCTTTTTTCCTTCCTTTCTCCTTGTTCTTCCTTTCTCCTCTTCCTTCTTGTTTCTCTCCTTCCTTCCTTCCTTCCTTCTTCTCCTCTTCTCCTCCCTCTCTTTTTTCTCTTATCCTCTTCCTCCCATCTTTCCTCCCTCCCTCCCTTTTGTCTTCCTTTATCCTCTTCCTTTCTTTTTCCTCTTCCTTCCTCCTCTTTTTTCCTTCCCTTCTCCTTGTCCTTCCTCTCTCCCCTTCCTCCTTCTTTCTCTCCTCCCTCCCTCCCTTGCCCATCCCTTCCCAAAGCCCTTCTTCTCCACAATCCCTCCCCACAATCCTTTTGCAAACCCTCCAAGAGGTGCTTCCTCCTCCTTTTCCTCCCTTCCTGCAGCAGTAGCAGCATCCTTTCCTTTGGAGGGGGCATTAAGCGGGGTGGGGTGGGGGGCACACAATGGGCATCCATCCTTCCCTCTTTCCCATCCCTCCTTCCTTCCCCTTGCACTCACCACTTGCCGGGCAATCTCGGTGGCCGCCATGGCCCCTTCCTCCCCTTCCTCTTCCTCTTCCCCTCCTTCCTCTTCCTCCTCGCCCAGCTAGGCTCCGGAGGCGAGGAAAGCAGGGCCGGGCCACTGCGGCAACGGGGGAAAGAGGGAAAGGAAGAAGGAAGGAAGGAAAGAGAGAGAGAGAGAGAGAGAAGGAAGGAGGAGAAAGAGGAGAGAGCGCGCCTTGCAGAGAACCCAATTGAGAGAGAGAGAGAGAGAATGAGAGAGGAAACCAGGCGTGGAAGGAGGGAGGGAGGGGACCCGGCACACAAGGAGGGAAAGAGGGAAGGAGAGAAAGAGAGAGAGAGAGAGAGAGAGAGAGAGAAGCAGCCCCTCCCTCCCTTCCTCTGGGCTCCTCCCGTTGCCTTTGCGAAGGCGGGCGCTTCCAAGGCTCCCTCCCCTCTCCAAGCTTCAAAGGCAGCAGAGAAAGAGAGAAAGAGAAAGGAAGGCACCCAAAAAGATGCTGCTAGCTTCTATTGCATTGCATTGCATTAGTTATATTGCATTGCATTAGTTATATTGCATATATTATATTATATTGCATTGCATTGCATTGCATTACATTATTTTATATATTATATATTACATTGCATTGCACTCCATTATATATATATATGTATATGTATATGTATATAATATTTGGATGAAGTTACATTTTAATATATATATCTGGGCCCCATAAGTATTTATTTATTTATTTATTTACTTCACTTGTATACCGCCATTCTCAGCCCTAAGGCGACTCATAGCGGTTTACAACAATCAAGCAAAAACAAGGTGAATAATCAAGGCAAAAATTCAATGCAGCATCAACAAGGTACTTAAGAACAGTTAACACAGAAGCAAGTTAAGCAGTTTAACAATAATATACAATCAATCAATTGGCGTCTCATAACTAGAATCATGATCCAAACTCGTCAGTCGTAGTTGTTCAACATCTGGCGAGATCAGAGGAAAAGAAAAATAAGGGAGAGAGAGTAGCGAAAAAAGTAGGGTGGGAGAGGATCGATCAAGAGAGAGGGCGCCAGGACTGCTTCATTGAG